TGCAGAGACAGAGAGAGAGGGAGAGAGAATCCCAAGGAGTGCCCTGCCAGCACAGTGCCCCATGTGGGGCTCGATTTCACGAAACTGTGAGATCATGACTTGAGCTGAAACCAAGAGTCGGACGCTTAACTGACTGAGCCACCCAGGTGCCCCCGGCCAGGTGTTTCTCGACATAGACCAATGTTGGGGCTGGGAAGAGAGTGCCCAGTGTGAGGGGCTGGAGGTCAGTGCTGATGTATGGCTGCAGGTGCAAGCTGGCTCAGGAGAATGGCTGGGGTGTCATGGTGAGTCATCGCTCAGGAGAGACTGAGGACACGTTCATCGCCGATCTGGTGGTGGGGCTGTGCACGGGCCAGGTGAGTGCAAGGGCGATCTTTGTGAAATTGGTGGGTTCTGTCGGGTGGATCTCTCTTTCCAGGTGTTTGCGGGTGTCGGGAGAATGTCAAGGGAGTGTAAGTTTCCTTTCAGGAAGTGAAGGGGCAGCCACTGAGCTGCATATGTTTGGGGATGTTTCAGATCAAGACTGGCGCCCCGTGCCGTTCTGAGCGTCTGGCTAAGTACAACCAGCTCATGAGGTGAGGAAACCTGGGGGATGGGAGTCCGGGGCCCAGAGGGTTAAAAGCTCCGATACTCAGGACCTGGAGAACAGTAGATATCCAGAAAATACTTGTTTTCGAATGATGGGTTTACCCATGGCCTGATTGATGGCTCCCACAGGTCATGTGGAGAAGCCAGGGGATGCCCCTGCTTGGGCCGGACATAGGGACAGGTGGCATGACAGGCTTGGAGAGGATAGGGGCCTCCTGGAAAGAGAAGTGGAATCCTCCTGCGTCCTTATTTCTTTTCTGGCTCATCCCTTCCAGAATTGAAGAAGAGCTGGGGGACGAAGCTCGCTTTGCTGGACATAATTTCCGCAATCCCAGCGTGCTGTGATCCCTCTCCTTGCCTGGAGACCTGGAACCCCTCTCCCATCCTCCTGGATCCTCTCTCTTCCTGTCTTGCTCTGTGATATTTCACCCCGGACACCCCGGCTGACCTGTTGCTCTGTTCCTTGGCTTGTCCAGCCCCTGCTCTGTGCTCTCCCCACTCTGGGCTCCACACTCTCCACTTCTCTTTCCTTTCTATTCTCTCTCCTCAAAAACTGGCCACGGGACTGGGGATGATAAGGGAGTCCCCATGGAAGAACAGTCAGGGTCTGTGTAGAGGTGCATCAGGGCTGGCTGGGGGTGTGTTGAGAGAGGGGCCGTGTGTCACTGTGCTTTCTGCCGCTTCCACACGTTTGTCCACGTGGCATCTGAGCCAGGGAGTGTGCAGTGCCGAGGGGGAGGGGAGCGCTGGCCGCGTGATCATGCCTGGCCGAAGACTTCAGTGAATTATTTATTTGTTTATTTATTGTTCACTCGTCTTGTTCATTAATTCAGCGTTTCTCCACAACTCCAGGGCCAAACCCTGGCCTGACCAGAGGAGATCGCGTGTGTGTGCGTGGGTACTTCATGTGGCCGTAGATTCCGAGATGGCCTGGGGTGGGAGGTCTTGCTGAAAATGGAGCGGGAAGGGTAACAGAAAAGGGACCTGTCATCAGTTCCTTCGTGTCTCCCAGCCCTTAACCTAAGCCGGCTCAGTCCAGAGGTGGGGCTGTGTGCCCGGGGACTCTTCCCCCATAGCTCTCCCCCAGCCCCGGCTTCCCTGTTCTTCCTCCAGCTGCACCCGAGCAATGTCTCACTCCCCTGTGCCACGCTTCACAGTTGCCACCACCTCTGTGGCGTTGAAATGAGCACCACCATTAAAGTCTGAATCACAGTGCATTGTTGTGTCTGAAGAGTCTTTCGTCCGTATGAGGGGAGAGCACCCAGAAGTTGGTGAAACTGGATAGCAGAGCTGGGGAGGACACAGAAAGATGAAGAAACCCAACCAGTATGGCTAAGACAATGGCCCTGCCTACCCCTCCCCGGCTGGGTGGGGACCACCTTGGCCCTGCCTTCTCATCAGCAAGCCTGGCCCCAGGACTCAGGTCAATGAAGGGTTCTTAACCTGGAGTCCAAGAATCCCTAGAAGTGTCAAAAATTGTGTGGGTGTGCATTTTTGGGAAAAGGGGTCCAAAGCATTCTGGATTCCTATAGGGCCTTGACCAAAGAAGGGATAAAGCTATGGACTGGAGCAGTTCCCCCACTGGGCCTCTCCCCAACACATTCCTGGCCACTGTGGGCCACAGCAGCGCTGTGTGGGCATCACCCCCTGCAAGATGGGGAACTGGGGAGGGAAGGATGGTACCAGAGGATCTGGAGGTGGGCCTGAGAAAGTGTTCCTGGAAACCTGAGAGTCGGGACAGCAAGGGCTGGTTTGGCCTGCGAGTAGGGCCCCAGTGTGTGGCTGGAGACCCACTGTAAACCTTCAGCTCCAGTGGAGCACTGACTTTGAGATGGGGACCCAGGAACCACCTAGGGGGAGAAACCCTCTCATAGGGCTGGGACACAGAGCAGAGCCCAGCAGGTAGGTGTTCCACACGGGGCACTGTGGCCACTAGAGGGAGGCAAGGTTCTGTGGGACACCAGGCTCCCCCTGAACTAGGGGTGGGATGGGAGGAATTTCAAGGCTGTCCCCTCTATGGGCCTCCTACTCTGTTTCTACTCTGAGTTCTGGTCCTGGGCGCCCTGCCATCCTGCCCAACTCCAGAACTAGAAGAGGATTTTAGTCCTGTATGGGCAGGACCCATTTCACTGCTCTTCTTCCTGTGTCCCTGACATACTCAGCCATTTTCAGTTCTTGCCCCTGCTCCTCCAAGCCTCTTAGTAGGGGCATCTCATCTTTCCCTTCTCTCCTGTCTCCTGGCGCCCTTTCTGTTCCCCTTGGGACACACTGTACTTTGTTCTGTGCCTCTCAGTTTTCTCTGGGGTTCCCAGGATCTATCTTCTCCAACTCCTGGGCTGACCAAGACCATTTTGGTTGGAGCCACATTTCCTAACCTCTGTCCTTTCCTCCCTCCTTGCTAGGTGGGCTTCTCTGGCAGCCATCCCCCCCCCCCCCCCCAAAGGTTCTGGGTTGGATTGGGTTACAGCTGGCTCTGTCTGGGCCTCCCAGGCCCCTCTCTCCACTTTCCCTTTGTGCTGTTGCCTGGAGACCAGTGGGTTGTGGGGGGCTGGGGTGAGGGGTGGTGGTGGTGGTGTGTGTGTGTGTGTGTGTGTGTGTGTGATGCACCCCAAAGCTGAACGGTGAGCCTGGTCTTAAGATAGGGGAGGAATTGGAGGGGGTAGGCCCTGGCTTCTCTGACTACCTGTCTTCTGTTCCTACGTAGGCCTACATTTTTCTTTTAGGCTCAGGTATGTCACCATCTTAGCCCAGCCCTTAGTGGTTAAAAAACTAGAGAGAGCAGCTCCGCCTAGAAGGGAGCTGGGAAGGGCCTGGGCCTGGGCCCAGTGGGAGACTTGAACTGAGAAGTGCAGAAAGAGAGGAAATGCAATGGGGAGAGAGTAGGAGGAGCCTTGGAACAAAGTTGGGGGGGTGGGGAGAAGGAGCAGGGGCCATTCTAGGGCTTAGAGGAAGGGAGGGCAGGGATCACCGGGGAGAGGGGGACAGGGAGCTGGCCTGGTCTGTGGAAGGCCCTGAGGAATACAGAAGGTGAGCGTGCAGTAGAAAAGTGAGTGGCAAATCAAAAAGCTAAAGAGTGGTGATTCATCCCCAGGCCAAGGAAGCCTTGCCCAGGTTCCCCAGTGCTTTAGAATCTGTTTAAAGCTTCGGGTATTCCCCGAATTTGGCCGAGCCTGGCCCAAGGAAATATGAGGCTAATTCCACTGAGTTGCTACAGAGCCAGCCTCCATCCTTCCCAGAAGGCTAGTGGGATCCTGCCATGCAGGGCCTATCTTTGGCCTCTAGCTGGCTTGGCCCCACACATACCCTACTCCCACCCCAAATCTGGAGAGCTATTAAGGGCTCCCAATCCAGGCTCCAGCTCCAGCTCTTCCAGTTTCCCAGCCTGCCTCCCTCCCATTCTCTGGCCTTCCCAATCTCTGCTGCCAAAAATCACCCAGTGTCTTGGTGTCCTTTGTCCTGGGAGATGTTGCTGCTTGGTATGGGGCCAGGGAGACAGCCTAGAAGACATTGGTGGTGGACGGGCGGAAGTGTTGGCTTTAGGCTGGAGACTGGAAATGGCTGCCTGGAGAGCTGGGAGGGTTGAAGGAAGACCCTGTGGTCTGCGGGTGGGGTGGGGATTGTCTCCATAGTAGAATGATTGGGATTGGGGAACCAGGGCCCCTAGGGATTTCGCTCCACGGTGAGCCTAATCCCCACCTGACCCCTTCCCTGTGGCCAAGAGTACTGTCTGTGATGACTTCAGACAGGTTTGGGGAGGAAAATGGAGACACCACCAGGCAGAAGGGCCTGAAGAAGACGGTGTCCCATTCCCATAAATTAATCCCTTACCTACACTGGGGCTTGCTTCCCCCATTTCTATCATTTCCTTCTACTGCTTTCCCCTTCCACCTCCACTCGTCTTCCTCATCTCTGGCCTTCCCTCCTCCATACTGCCACCAAAGGCCTTGTTTATCTTACATTTCCTTCTAATCTTCTTTACCCACTCCCCC